TCTTCATATTATGCTTTTATATCATGAAAAAGATCATTATAAAAATCATATTTTATAAGCATTTTTTACACAAAAATATAGAAAATCATGTAATCAATATATAGAGCATATAGAGGGACAGTAAATATTTATATACATATGTGAAATGCAGGTTTAATGCTGGTGGAACTGTTTGAAGCAATGTCAACTTTACATTATGCACATTTTATTCTTGAAAATTCTTTTCAACCTGGTCTCTTGCATCTTCCTTTGTTTTCAAGTGGCTCAGGAAAGTGCCAAATATAATCAGCTCTTACTGGTAAGGGTGGAAAAGCTGCAATAGGACCACTCAAATTTTTAGCTGTAAGTTGAGGCTCTATATCCAATAAAGGACTGCCAAGTTTCCTAAACCCTGCTTTACCTTCTTTCATTAGGCATATGGCCATCTTGGTGTTGAAATCAAGTACACCGAGGATATTTTTTGTCGCGATTCGCATTAGTACAATCAGCCTATAGATCAGCCATGCCAGCACAACTGCCATACTGGTATCCAGAAAGTGGAATATTATACAGTGATACTATTTTTTGGACCTTACTGGTATCCTGTATACGGCCAACAGTGAAGCGAGAAGATCCACACCACCCATGAATTTATTGTAAACCATGATTACCGATGGACAAGTTACCTAGATTTCCCTTTTAGCCTTTTGTCCCATCTTTTGACCCGTTTCATGGGCTCAATAGCAGCAAATGTACTGAGTGTGGTTACCGCTCTATTGTCAACCCATTTGACTGGAAACAGATCAACACCGTCATGGTGGCAGGTTTTCAGAATTGCGGAGCCCCTTCCATTTCTTGCCAAGTCCTTATCTGAAGGCATTATGCAATTTTTAAGCCTATTAGACCTTACAGTGCCAATAGCTGCATGTCAGCTTCATCTCTGTGGTGTCAAAGCAAATTTCTTGCAAATAGTTTTGCCCGTGGTTGGATTGCAGTGTCTAAAGAATTACCAGGTGTGTCGTTAGTTTCACAGTCTGAGTCTGATATGGTTGAAGCTGAAAAGGGAAATTTTAAATATTATTTTTCAGTGTTTACTTTAACTTTTGGCTTGAATGTTATATAATTGTTTTTTTTTTAAATATTAGAGATTAAATGCAATTTAAAAAAGTATATGAAAACATACTTGTTGTGTTCTTGAGTCAAAGTTTCATCTATGTCATCATCGCGTGAAGATAGCTCGGAGTCCTCAGGAATAGAAGGAATATCCACATTTTTATTTTTTCCATAAAAGCATGATGGTTCCATGACTGCTTTGATGTTTGGATATTTGAATTCTAGAAGAAAAAAACATTATAGGAAACTAATAATTCCACACAAAAAATAACTTACAATATAGACTTATATCTTGTATAGTATCTATTCATTTTTTTTTTATAAAAAGAATTGTAACATTAATTTAAAACCTGTTAATTTGATCAAAATATAAAAGGATAACATTAATATTAGATATGTATAGATATTTCATAAAAAAAATATTATTCAGATAGCTTATAATAAATAAACTGATTATATATTGTATGTTGCCATTTGGCAACAAAAAAATAAACACAAAAAATTAACCACATCGACGCACTGTTGCCAATTGGCAACATACCATTTTTTTCGTATGTCATCCACCTATGATGACAAATATCAAACATAAGCTCATTTAATATCAGTTCAAACATTAAATTTAACATTCTTTATTTTTTATAACAGGAATTATCATTATGTGATATAAAAAAACAGCTTGTACTTACTGGATTCGGCGGAAAAAATTGTAGTCAACTGTGACCGTCTAAAATGTGTTCTTACATAAAAACTGCAAAGCGAAAGTGAAGAGTTCTTCAGGATAAAAGTTTGAAACCTCATAATTGAAAAGGGGAACCACTCCAACAAATTAAAAATTGGGCTTGCAGTACTAGCAGTAGTGTAATTTCGCTTTGTTGCCAAATGGCAACATTGCGTAATAGAGGGTTAAAGCTGCAACGTAAAATTGACTCTAGTTACAGATTTAAGTTGTTACACATATTTTTTTTTTAAATTTCAAAGAAATTTGAAAGGTAAAAAATGATTTTAAATTATGTTGTCGTCGTCCCCCCCCCCAACCGCCGGTCCCCCCCACATATAAAAAGTACCATATTTAATTTATTTACTTACTTTATTTTCTTGGGGCGGGGGCATTGTCGACATAATTTATATGGGGAGCGGGGCTGGCCTTGAAAGTTTGACAATCCTTGACAAGTTGGAGGGGGGGAGCGTCAAAAATTACTTGAATTTATTTTTAAATAATTAATGGACAAATGATGTCCAACTTGACAATGTATTGTAGACCTTATGATAAATAATAATTCTCTAGGTATGTATGACTGTAATGCTCTGTTCAATGGCAATGGACGTGCAAAAATAAAATTTCCTGACGCGTTACTTGAATGTAAGTTTTGTTAAGTAACTTAAGTAAATAAGAAGGTCACGCTCTGCCGCCACCATTGTTTTGCGGTTTATTTCTAATAAATAAATAATGAATAATAATAATAATAATAAAGTTTATTTAAAAAAACACGCTTCATCCCAAAAGGCTCGAAGCGCGGTACAAAAGTAAAAAAAAAAATTTTAAAAAATGCGCGTCACGGTGTGAAAGACGTAGCCTACGCTTATTAAAGGGTGTTGGTGCAAGGCGATTTTTCTAGAACTGCGCAGAATTAGTCATATCAGACCTTTCTTAACGTCTGATGCAACAAAGAGGTCGATGTCTGCATTCGTGCCATCACGCATGGACTACTGCAATGCTCTCATGGTGGGTCTTCCAGCTACGCTCCTGGATAAAATTCAAAAAGTGCAGAATAATGCGGCTTGCATTGTTCTTCGCAAACGCAAATTTGACCATGCTAAAACACATCTGAGAGAGTTGCATTGGCTGCCGGTCCGCGGTCGCATAGAGTACAACATTGCAATGCTGTGCTACCGCTGCTTGCATGACCTGGCGCCGTCTTATCTCAAGGCACTCATGACGCCTTCTGTACGCACTAGACAACTCCGCTCATCCGATGGTGGCAAACTTTCGATACCACGTGTTCGCCTTGAAACTTACGGAAGGCGCACGTTCACATTTGCTGGCCCAACAATTTTAAACACACTTCCTGTCACTCTCAGAAACACCCAGACACTGGAGTCTTTCAAAACCGATTTGAAAGCATATCCATTTCCCAAACACCTGTTGGGGTGATGTTATCTACCATCTTTTCCAGCTAGCTGTTATCTCCTAGATTTGTAGTGGTATGTATTGTTTATGGTTGCAAGGGATCAGAGCCGTTCTTAGGAGTTTGGGGGCCCTAAGCATGGAGCGTAGGTTGGGAGCCCCGGAAGGGGGGGGGTCCGGGGGTGGAGGGGGGGTCCGGGGGTGGAGCTCCTTCGAGCTGAGGAGAAAACACCACCCACCCAGAATGATAAATTTCAGGATGAGGAAGGTAACGTGAGTGACACAGACGGCTGCAGTGCCATTTTTTTAAAAAAAAAGGGTGATTGAGGGCGCCTCACTGGGGCCCCCTCACGTTCGGGGCCCTACGTGGATGCGTAGTCAGCGTATGCCTAAGAACGGGCCTGAAGGGATGAAAGACTTAGAATGGGTATTCTCGTATGTAGTTTTTGTAGTATTGCGTTTTGTATTTCAATGTGGTAAAATATAGATTTTTTCATTTCTTTTTTAATATGGATGACTTTGTACCGCGCTTCGAGCCTTTGGGATGAAGTGTGTTTTGGTGGTGTTTTTTTTTAAATACTTAATACAAATATTTAAATAGTCACATAAAAACCTGACATTAAAGGAGATTACCCATAGTTGCCAGGCACTAAATTATTTTTGGATTGAGAAATTTCAACATCTTTCGCTATACTCGCCTGTACATTAAAATAAAAGTTCCACTATTTCAATATTTTTTTAAATCACACAAAGGCCTACTTGGTGCATTTACACAGTATGCTAACTTGTTAGCTAACTCATTTCCTCGTTTCGTGACAACAATTGGAAAGGGTACCAAATTGGTGATAAATATTTATTAGAAATTTAAAATAAAAAAACAAAACTTTGTAGACTACATAATGAGGGCAAAAATTAATCTTACTCCTTCAGTGTCTTCTGTGACTTCAGGGAAGTCATGGCACTCATTGTTGTTAACAGTGATTAAGGCTAATCTATGCATTTATTTTTTAATTTTTCACATCAAAATGGCATATTGGTCTCCATGGTTACGCGCATCCAAGTTTAAGACATCCGGTGCGTTGTTTAATCAAGAGTTTTACAATTTGGGTTCTATCATAGCTATATCAGTACCATGAATATTTTTTAACGAGTAATAGTAATAAAATTGTACATAGCAATAGATGTGCACCCTTTTTGGCATATTTTATTTAGCATACTTTATAACATAATAGTGGCAACAAATAAAAAGTTGCGGTTATTCTTAGACTCGGATACAGGGTTGCCAACTCAATAAAATAACATTTACTGACAAATATAAGAACTCTCAACAAAATTTACGGACAAAAACACTTTTTTACGGACACATTTAACATAAAATGTTGACCTTAAAACGAACAGCCTAGCTGTCCAGAAAGCTCTTACAGTTTATTAATAGAGCGCGGATGCCACTAAAACAATTTAAAAATTCAAATTTCAATCAAGAAAATAGATATCAATCACAAACATGATTTACTGGGTTTTTTTAAACGTTGAGATTCCACGTTTAGTCGATCTTTTTTACGGACGTCTTAATTTTTTAACGGAATTTTACGGACAGGCAATTTTACGACAAATCTTGACGGACTGTCTTGAAATTTACGGACGGTTGGCAACCCTGCTCGGATATATAAATACTAAAACGTTATGTATTTAACGGCCCTTTTAAGTACATTGCAACCTGTGACAAAAGATCCACTATTTAACAAACAAAATGAATATATAAAATGAACACAATTTGGATCAAGCCTAATTTAATTTCATCAGTAAAAGCAATTATGGAACGACAAGGTTATACATCTCCGTTGTAAGCCCAAGGCTCTGAGCCCTGAACTTGTTACGACCCAGGCATAACCAAATCGCTTGGCTCGCAATCTCTACCAGGGGACGTGGCGATTTGACCATTTCGTTTATCAGATGGGAAAAATAGCGGCAGATTGGCAAGGCCTGTATCGGCGTGCATAGGAGGTGATCGTCCAAGAAAATCTTCAGGGCATCATTCAGGCATCTGTGGGTCATGGAGTGACATATCAGCAGCAGGTTGTTGAGTTCCTTTTCATATCGATCGTACGAGTCAATGACCTCGAATCTGGTCAGGTAAGGCAGGATGCTGTCGAAATAAATATTGATTGCAAACTTCCCCGCCTTCCGGAAGTCTGGGTTAGCGCCATATCTTAGGAGCGACTTGATTACACTCCGATCCAAGCCCAGAATGTAGGCAAACTTCATATATTCAAAGAGCACATCGTTTAAGGGAACTCTTTTTGTGCGGTCGTGATATTCTACCGTCATGACAAATTTTTTCAGAAACAGCTTCGACCAATACGGCTTCTCGAAGTAGTCCAGGGATGTCTTCGCGCTCTCGAGAATGCAGTTGATGGCAGAAGAATACGATTTCCTGGTGAAGGACAGCCCCAAATTTTTCACGCCATCTTTCTCCGCCCTCTCCTCGCTGTACTGTGGGTTCGCCTTGGCTTCGAGAAGTAATACGAGACACTCGATGTAGTAATACATCTGTTTCATGACCGTAATGTTGAACGCACAGCTGATCAACGTGTACATCGGAAAGGTGCGGTGCACGTTGTGGGCGTTAACGTTCTCTTTGCAACTGATGAGCACGCGCGTCATTTCCGGCATCATTTCGTACCGGTAGTCGGCGATGAGGCTTTGTGAGTAGAGGACGTGGAATAAATTTGCGCCGTCGAACAGAGATGTGCGCTCCTTCCCGTTGATCGACAGCAGGGCCGACAGACAGTCAGGAAAGAGCTCGCGTATCGCCACCAACACTGCGCTCTGATAGTCCCAGCGAGACATTTTTTTATCGACGAGAAGAAGTATTGCCTCGGGGCACCTGGCTTTTGTGGCCAACGTTAGAGGTTCCCGCGAGGCGATCATCGGGTTGTTCTTAAGGATTACTTGCTCAAGCAGAAATTTGACGCAGTCGAGGTGACCTCGTTCAGCCGCGATGGTCAGCGGGGTTTTGTTCATGAATTTCTGTGCCTCATCAGGCTCGCGAGTCTCGCGGTGATCGATTTTAATACGGAATTCTTTGTATTTCTTTTTACCCCTGACGCCAACTTCGATCCTCTTGTTTTGGACCAGGGGTTTTGGGGAGTCTGATGATAGCATCGTAGAGGATAACGCCGGCTCTGTTGATTTTCGCTTGGCGGGGCCGATCGATCTCCGCACGCCATGGCTGACGGGCCTGTAAAGTTTAGACTTGTAATCAAATTCCTTCATGATGCAGGGTCGAGATACTTGGAGCGTGTTAACGAAATTGACAACGGCGGGCAGTCCGGCTCCTTTAACGATTCCGCCCGGATCATTCGACATAACATCCCAGTAGACTGTGATCACGTGCTTACCCATCTTCCTCTTTCTGAGTGCCAGCTCTTTTCTCTGTTCCTCTTCGATCTTTTTCAAAGCACTGTCAGTTTTAGCCGTTTCGATGTGAATGATGGGTTTGACGTCAAACACTTTTTGCAGGGATGGTTTAGGCTTATCCTTTTGAGGGGTCGTAGAGACCTCATCGTGTTTACTGGTCTTGAGGAACGGCTGCGAGCGTCGTCGCTTATCAAACGGTTTCTTGGGCCCTTTCTTGCTCTCTTCGAAAAATGCGCTCTCCATGTCTTGTGACACCCTGGTCTTCAGCTCCTCCTCGGCAGTGTCGGTGCACGCTTTTATTTTATCCATCAGATTGCTTTTGATCGTCTCTTTCATCTTTAACCGTTTCATGATCTCATCTGGGAGTTTGAGAAAATGGCTGGGTTGCGAAATCCTGAAGAAATCCCATGGCCTGTTCTGGAGTACTATGCGGAGACACTCCTTGTAGCCCACCAGGGCGGCGAGGTGGGCGTATGGGTTGAGGGAAGGCATGTGAGACTTTGAGAAGAACACAGTGTCGGTCAGTAAGTAGTTGATCACGTCAGGTCTGTTGTTGATGATGGCATAGTGCAGTATGTTGAGGTTGTTGGTATCCCTCCAAGAACTCGCCGGAAGGACGAACGACTCGGTCACTGTCGATAACAAGGATTTGATCAGTTTTAAACCGGCCGCCGATCCCTCCTCCAGAATGCGAACAATTTTCAACATGGCTGTCTCTAGGTCGACGTAGGAGCTCACGTAGATTATTCTCTCTACGCGCTTCGTCCTCGACTGGGATTCTTCCTTTCTTTTCAACAAAAAATAAGCTTCGGCGAAAGTTAAGTCATTAGCATGTAACTCCATGGTCTGAATTTTAAACCGAATCGCCACAACACTTATAAAATAAAAACAATGGGACTAGACTCTAACATAAAGACTTAGTGGCTTAGTTGCTGACGTTGGCCCAACGTACGCTAAATTTTTTAGCTGGATAAGCTGCCAACGTTAATGAGCTGAAGTGAAAAGAAAGAGAGGATGAGGCCGTCTATAATAACATCCTTCGGACTACAATTGTTCACTGTTGCTAGTCGCCGTCCTCCGCCATTTTGAACTTCTTTGCACCTAAATAAATCTACTTTTAAAATTACAACAAACAGTTTAGGTGCGCATTTTTCTATGTTAGTCACAAATTTCAATTGAGAACATAATCATGTCTGGTGGTTTTTCTTCTTTTTTTAAAAACGCTTTAGATCTCTTATGTATCAATCAACTTTACCATCATATTACAATGTATTGTACTGGCATTGCAAAATTACAGTGTTTCACTTTACCATCATATACAATTTATTTTACTGGCATACATTGTTTCTTGCAGACAATTTCCTCGGGGGAAGAAAAAAAAAAGGGGGGGGGGGTGGTGTCAGATTTTCAGGTAGACAGTGTCAGTGACCAAAAGCGTAGCTATGGGGGCAGAGTATCGGGGGGCGCCAAAGTGAGCTTTAATGGTATTTAATGCATGAAAATAATGGGTTTCAGAGTTGTGGGGTGGGACTTAAAATGAATCTTGTCACCTTACGCCAAACGCTTCCGCCTTGCCTCCACTAGCGCGTGAACATGTGTAGGTCGGGAAGAGGAGTAAGTGGCTTATTGGAATTCTCAAGTCATGATCAATGTTTTTGTATTGAAGGCACACAATCATAAATGTTTCATCTCCTGCGAGATGTTATCCATCCTCAGTTTACTGTGAGCTGTTGTTCAAATGTGTTGCTATTTTATTTTCCGTTTTACCACGCAACATACTCTATATTATGTCTTAAATCGCCCAAAAATAGTCTTTCATTCACTACTGCTTCTAAGCCCCTGACTACAGCCACATCCCTCCATCCACAAAAACCACCACCCCAACCTCAAACCCGCTCTCTCATAGTATCCCAATTTTCTCCCCAACCTACATTTTTTTTTAAAAAGCGTCATCCCTATACCGGTTTTCGATTTCCGTCGATCTTCCACCCACCACTAAAATACTGTTACATCACTTTTAAGCTACGATAATTGTTGTTCTTCCTCCAACCGACCTATATCTAAATATATTATTATACTACATTCAATTTTAAATTGATATGAAGTCTCTTCTTAGGTAATTGTGTTGGTGTTTCATCATTTCAAAGGATTACACTATTCTAACCTATCCGAACTAGTACTAACTCCTTATTCTTACGTTCCACATATCCATCCAGTCTCTTAATCCCCAAATAGTTAATCTCTTTTACCTCACCTTCACAGAAATCACCTTGTGTGTCAGGTGGTTACATCCAGGGTTTCTTTCAGCTATATCGCCGGGGGGGGGGCGGCAGTAACCCCCGCGGGAAAGCCAAGTGCCCCCCGGAGCAAAAATATGTCTAACAATAAATCAACTGGAACTGCTGGCATTGCCCCCCCCC